ATCATAGTGTCATCGCGCTATGTCATGTCGTTCTAGTTCTAGTTCTATTTCTGCACATGCATCGTTTATCACCAGGCATATTTTGAGTCTGCATGGGCATCAGAGCGTGTCCGACTCCGTGACTCAGCCTCCCCCGTCGTGGCGCGGCCGGTATGCTGTGAGTCACGTCGGGTTGGAATACCTCCGAGGCTGGATCACCCGACCCCCCGGTGGGCGCCGGTCACTGTCGGGGAGACAGCCACGGGGGCGAGACGCGTCGGCAGAGGAGCACGGGCTGCCAACGTGAACCATGACTCAGCGGGTTCGATTGGAGGTCGGAGCTGCTAGAAACCCAACTGTCGGAGCCATTAGATGACGAAAGTGAGATGCCACAGCAGTTAATGGTCATGGCTATTTGAAAAGTTTTTGAAATATTTCGTATCTTTCTAACAAATTTAAGCTATGTGCAACTGGGGAAATCTTTGCCGTTAGCTGTTTTCGTTTTCTCCATTTTCAGCCATTAAACCTCACTTCGTCGCGCTAACTTTGCAATAGGTATCTGCGGACGCGGTTATACGTCTACTTTATTAACCCGCGCCCTGCTGGGGGTCCTGGATTTCCACGCCCTGCTGGGGGGGGGGGTGTTTGAACACCCCCCCTTGTAACTCGGCTCCTGGGCCACGTAGCGATACGCGGAAGGCGGCGTTCGAAAGAGCGTCAAAAATAATGACGAAATCACTTCGGTCAATTTTTTGGTCAGGTCAAAGGTCAGGTCACCAGAGGTCATTGAAGGCAAAATTTCGCCGATTTCCAGGTCGAATGTCGAAAATTTCCAAGAAGCCAACGCATAACTCGGGAACCAATAGAGCTACAGCGCCGCGGAAAAGCGCATTCGATAGCCCTATTAACGCCCTTTCTGAGTAATTCTCTCAGATTTGACCTAACGTCAACGGTTTTGCCTGCAGGGGGCAAAAACTGCAAAAATAGCCGATTTTTTCGAAAACAGTTTTTCTGCAATAACTTTTGACCCAAGCCTTGTACGAGCTTACTTTTACCGGCATCGTGTTCCTCTCGTCAAGACGCATCGAATGAACTATGACTTGACCTTGAAAGGTCAACTTGAAAATTTGACCTCAGGTCAAGGTCATGACCTGACCGGAAAGGGTCATGTTGCATATCAGTCGATCCGTATCGTCGAGCTGAACACATCTAAGGCGTTTTCATCGCTCTAGCATGCCTCTATCAAAAGTTATTTGCGAAAAACTGTTAGATACCATTCGTGACCTAAGATGACCTCAGGGCATAAACAAGGGTCACGGACACCATTTTCAAGTTCAGTGTGTCTAAACCACTTGTAATTCGGTGTTTGGGAGTGTTTATAATGTCTTTCATCCAAAAGAGGCGCATTTCAATTTTCTCCCATTGACTTATAATGGGGAGGTCGCAAAATTGACCTGACCTTAGGTCATCGATATCAAAATTCTGAGATATACATTTTGTACATGCTATTGCTCTCAGCAATCGCTGAAAGTTTCAAAGCGATCGGTCACTTGGTGTAGCTATGACAGACATTGAAAGTTTTTATGAGGTGAGGTGACTTCAAGTGACCTGGTGACCTGACCTTGAATGACCTTGGCCTGAAATTTTCACAACATGTGTAGAATTGATGTATGATAAGGTGTACCAAAAACGGCGGCGCTCCGCGCCGCCGTTTTTGAGATATTCGCAAAAAACCACAAGGGGGGGTGTTCAAACACCCCCCCCCAGCAGGGCGCGGGTTAACCCGCGCCCTGCTGGGGGGGGGGGTGTTTGAACACCCCCCTTGTGGTTTTTCGCGAATATCTCAAAAAAGGCGGCGCGGAGCGCCACCGTTTTCGGTAGACCTTATCATACATCAATTCTACACATGTCGTGAAAATTTCAGACCAAGGTCATTCAAGGTAAGGTCACCAGGTCACTTGAAGTGACCTCACCTCATAAAAAGTTTCAATGTCTGTCATAGCTACACCGAGTGACCGATCGCTTTGAAACTTTCAGCGATTGCTAAGAGCAATAGCATGTACAAAATTATATCTCAGAATTTTGATATCGATGACCTAAGGTCAGGTCAATTTTCCGACCTCCCCATTATAAGTCAATGGGAGAAAATTGAAATGCGCCTCTTTTGGACAAAAAACATTATAAACACTCCCAAACACCGAATTACAAGTGGTTTAGACACACTGAACATGAAAATGGTGTCCGTGACCCTTGTTTATGCCCTGAGGTCATCTTAGGTCACGAATGGTATCTAACAGTTATTCGCAAATAACTTTTGATAGAGGCATGCTAGAGCGATGAAAACGCCTTAGATGTGTTCAGCTCGACGATACGGATCGACTGATATGCAACATGACCCTTTCCGGTCAGGTCATGACCTTGACCTGAGGTCAAATTTTAAAGTTGACCTTTCAAGGTCATCTTATAGTTCATTCGATGCGTCTTGACGAGAGGAACACAATGCCGGTAAAAGTAAGCTCGTACAATGCTTGGGTCAAAAGTTATTGCAGAAAAACTGTTTCCGAAAAAATCGGCTATTTTTGCAGTTTTTGCCCCCTGCAGGCAAAACCGTTGACGTTAGGTCAAATCTGAGAGAATTACTCAGAAAGGGCTTTAATAGGGCTATCGAATGCGCTTTTCCGCGGCGCTGTAGCTCTATTGGTTCTCGAGTTATGCGTCGGCTTCTTGGAAATTTTAGACATTCAACCTGGAAATCGGCGAAATTTTGCCTTCAGTGACCTCTGGTGACCTGATCTTTGACCTGACCAAAAAATTGACCGAAGTGATTTCGTCATTATTTTTGACGCTCTTTCGAACGCCGACTTCCGCGCATCGCTACGTGGCCCAGGAGCCGAGTTACAAGGGGGGTGTTCAAACACCCCCCCCCCCAGCAGGGCGTGGAAATCCAGGATCCCCAGCCGGGCGCGGGTTAATATTTTGTTCCCAAGAAACCCCAATGGTCCAAGACTCAAGAGTGAAGTTCATCATTACTGGAACATCAGCTTATTACGAATAAACAACCAGTGAAAAGCTAAAATGCGTGTGCGAAAGCATCAACAAAAGACATTGCGTCTGAAAAAATGACAGCTTGTATTAAATAGACGGCTTGCGGTGCAGTCGCAGGTATGAAACTCAAAAGACAATAGGATGAAAGGAGCGGTGAAAATTGCACGCGATCCCAGGTACACCTTTAGCCGCTTTCCCGAAAATCACGCCGCTTTGCAAGTTCCCTTGGTTACTATCGGCGCCGGCTGTCAGATGTGGGGAGCCGGAGCGTTTGGCTGCCTTCCAGTAGCTGCCTGGAACTTTCCAGGTTGTGTCGGGCGGCGCGGGCGGGCGGCCTGCCAAGCGGTCCGGCTGGCAGCGCGTCCCTGCTGCCCTCGGCAGACGCAGGTCGAGCCGTCTGCCTCCCACACAAACACGTCACGCCGAGCGGAGCGCAGACGGAGGCGAGTGAGGAGCTGACGACTGCCGCCGCCAGATCCTGACAGCCCGTCCTTTGTCAGAATGGCTGCCTTAAGTAATCTATTGAAGTTTGTAGGATAAAAGGAACCAGTCGCGACGGACAGTACAAAATCAGCTTCGCTAAAATGGGCTAATATAAGCAGACAGATAATTCAACATGCACCTCACCTAAGTCTAGCAAAAACGTACCACGCTGGTGAGAGAACCCATAATACTTTATTAAATGCGTCTCGCATGATGTTCCCGGAACATCATGCGAGACGCATTTCATAAAGTATAGCAAACGCGGCCGATTAGGATGAGTGCAGAGTTTGCCAATGCCAATTATACTTCTCCCCCACTTGACTGAGCCTCCGGCCGAACGGCATTGACAGGGGAGGGGTTAACGCCCCTCCCCCATACCAAGATTATCTCCGAAGCTGAGGATCGTAGCAACACGCGTGAGGCGCCGTTGGTCGCTTCCTTTTTGACCTGACCTCGACCCTAACAAACACTTGGTATTTTTCGCGAAAAAAAACGAGCGTCCGCGTCATTATGAGACGCAGTGATTAGTACACGACTTTAACGTATCAGATCAACCGGTGACCTCTGAGGTCAGGTGAAGTACCCCAAGGTATGGGCTCGGTTTTTGGTAAATCACTTCGCCAAAAAATGGTAGCCCGTAGCAGAGCCATGATTTGGCACCATCTTGTTCGCCATGTTCAGATACGTCCAATGGTATACTTTTTGTTTGGGTGAGGTCAACTTACGGTGTTGACCTCGGGTCAAGGTCAGGTCAGAGCCACTCAGGTCACCAAGCTAGCCGAAGGAGGTCATATCGCATATCATTGATTCGGCAGGTATTCCCGAGTCAATTGATGGTTTTCCCGACTCGCTAGCTCAATTTGATCGGGAATTATTGATGAAAAACTGATGACCTTAGTGACGTCATAAATAACATCACGAAGGGTGGACAAGGCAGCAGTGAAACATCGGACCTTGCAAGGAGCGCATGAAATCACGATTACATGTGATTGAGATAGTTTTAGACCATTTTCGGCATCAAAAAGGTAACAGTTTCCATATTTGCCCATTGACTTATGCCTAGCTTCAATTATGTGACCTATAACCCGACCTGAGAAAGCGGTTGGAGTCGCAAGATGCGGTTTGAATCAAAGATGAAGAATGCTAAGTACCAGCTCTCTATCTCCGTCGTGTTCGGAGTTATCGGGAAACCCCTATGGGGGTGACACCCTCCCCCTTCCCTCGGCTGGCGAGAGGATAAGCTCATTCAGCTCCAGACCCATAAGCTCATTTGTTGGCTATCACAAGCTTTAGTCGGAAAATCGTAAACTATTTTTGTTGTTTTGCAGTTGGAGGTCGATATTGTTGGAAGCTGCTGGAGCCGTCATCCGCTGTTTGCTGAGAGCTGACTGTATGACGACTCCTGGCAATGCCATTCTTGACCTTGGCAAAACTGACAAAAGAGCTTTCAATAAACCTTGAAAACTTTCGAAAGCCGTGAACTCTTTCCCGCTACACTGCTGTTCTATCAAGATTCAAGATTCCTGGGGCGGACGAAAGAAGACCCTGACCACGATCCCAGCACCAAGACCAAAATATCTGGAAACTTGTCAAGTTCACTCAAATTTGCCTCCTTTGTCTGTGCACGGACGGAGGTGGCGGTGCCCCTGAAACATACACTGGTGGATATTCAGTCGCTGATCAATAAAGTGCTGCAGTCGCTGATCGTTTTTTAAGCTAATGAGCCGTGAAGCACCAATCGCTGCGCACTATCAGAGTCGCTGGCTTCTGATAGCTACTGGAGACAGTAGCGGCCGAGAGCTTCTGGAGACGAGAGCTGCTGGAGCCACATATTGCTGACGGCTGATGGAGCCGCATAATGTTGGGAGCAGCTGAACGGTTGGACCCGCTTGTTGCTGAGAGCTGCTAGAGATTCTGACTGCTAAGAGCTGGAAGCACTGGATGATGATAGCTTGTGGAAACACTGTCGAGAGCTGGAGCCGCTGACAACCAACAGCTGATCTAGCTATGCGCGTGGGGGGCGCCACCGCTAAGAACAGCTGGAGCCGGACAGCCGCTGTTTGCTGGAGCTGCTGGAGCCTCACAGCCGCTATTCACTGAGAGCTTCTGGAGCCGCTGATTGCTGAGAGCCGCCCCAGCTGTGCAGTCTGCTGAAGCGGGGCAGCTGGAGGGCTCCGGAGCCGGCTGGAGTCGGCTGCTCCACCTGGTCCCCCGTTGAGTCACTGATGACGCGATGGGCCCGGGCGGATACACTTGGCACGCGCCGGCTGGGCGGGCCACCGCCGTCTATAAAGGTGTTGTCGGCCGGGGGAGGTGCACTCGAGTCACGGAGTCGTGAGAGTCCGCCGGCAGCAGCAGCTCTGCCCCTGAGGTCACCGAGGTCACCCGACAGTCACACACAGACACACACCATGCCGCGCGTTGGGGTAAGTCGACGGGTTCAGTGATCGTGGGGCTGACACTCATCGACATTGTTTTTATCGTTTTGTGCCAAAGATCATTAGTCGATTCCCTGCTCACATTAGATTGCCTTATTAGATCGACTGTAAGATGTAACTCTAAAAAACAGTTCTAACTTCGTAAAAGCAGGATTACTGTTTTCTGTACTTTCTATGCATTCATGAACGTAAATCGACTAACGTGTCAAATCGCTGAAAGGCAAATGCAACTCCAGATGGAACTGAATCCAGTACGACTGAGTGGTGGTTAATTTGGCTATGCGAGGCTTGTTGGGAATGTCATCTGTAAGTACGACTAGGCGCCCCACAGAGATGTGTTATGTGCATGGACCTGATGAAGTTGATCCGGGATCTGATCCCGCTAATTTTTATCTATTGGATCATAGCTTTGGCTCTACCATTGTGTCCAGAGATGTATTGTGATCAGGACCCTTCGCATGATTTTGTACGATCATGCAATCATGCATCCCAGGGGCGCAGGAACTGGGGGGGGGGGGGAGGACATTGGGGTCAGCTTGCCCCTCCCCCCCCCCAACTCTGGGGCCGTGGGGGCGGTGCCCCCACACCTTTGAGATGGAATACCACTTTTTTGTAAATGTTTTATAGTTTTGTTGAAAAAGCCAAGGGATGAAAATAAGTGACCTAAAACCAGTGAGAAAACTAGATATGGGGATACCCTAGGTTGATCTTTATTATAGTGCTCCCCCAGTCTGACAGTGGCTCCCGCGCCCCTGATGCATCCTTACCCACGGTGTTTGTAGAACATAACATAACATTATGCTAGATCTTGCATTTTCCAGATATCTAATGTAATTACAGTTCGTATTTCCCCGGTGGTGTGCTACCCATTTAGCGTTGATTGCCCACAGAATCTCATGGATCACATGTGCAAAGGCCGTGTGCTGTGAGGTCCACACATCTTACATGGCCCTTGATTTGCAGTAATATAACGACAACGTAGATCCTTGTTTCTCCTTTGATGTGCAGCGATCCAAGCATCTGCCAATTTTTACCCAACACTGATCAACCTGGTAAGACATACATATAGGTAGAGCTATCATTCAAATGTAGGTATCATAGCTTCGCATCGCATTGCAAACTATTAACTAACGTCAAATCGCTCAGCACATGTCTACGCTCGGACCCGTATCTTAGCATCAGCTTTTACCTAACCCTCACTTCCGCCGGTACTGCCGATATTCCGGATGTTTCCGGGTCCGGGCGGGGCCCACATTCCCACCCGTCCCCCTCCCCACCGCTAGTTACCGGTCCAGACGCGGGGGCGTCTAGGTTTTCGCACAGGTTAGCGCGCGCGCCGCCCGATTTGGCCGGGTTGCGCGAGTGTGCGGCGCGCCGCCTCGGCAGCTATGAATAGCTGACCTCGACGTGTCCGCCGGCGCAGCGAACCGTGTGTTTGGATCGCTCCAGCCGCCCCGATACGAGCCGCTCGACCGCCCCGGCGCGCCGTACCCTCGCCGCCGCCCTGGCGTGCCCCATCACCCGCCCCGAGCCGCCCGTCGGCGTGTCAGACGCCTGCCCGAGCAGACGGCAGAGCGAGATCAAAGCAAACATCGTGATTGGGTGAAGGCCCAAGGGCAGACACAGTTGATGTTGCGAAGTACTCTAGCATTATGCTGCAGATAATTTAGAGGTGAAGATCAGATAGGTATCTATCTGAACAAGGTGAGCGGTTGTTCGTTGAAGCCTTGTAGTTCGGAACGCTGCATAGCCTAGCGACAAACCCAGACGGGTTACCAGTTTATGAAGCACGTCAGCCATTCATCAAACAAGATAACATGAAAGTTTCACATTGTTTCGAACTTCCGACCAAGGCTTTGATGGAAGGGCACGAATTTAAGTAACGAATTAAGAATTTAAGTTAAGTAACGGAGAGCCAGTTGTTAAAAGCGAGGATATTTTATCTGAAAGTGAAACATCTATCATAATTTCGAGCGAGCCTACTCGTTGCTCGCAGTACATAAATATAAATGCCAAACATTCAAAATACATTCCAGTTTTTACAGTAACACACAATACTGCTTACCCCAATACCTAGCGTAATTAAGGACTCTTTCGAAATTCGTCAGTCCATTCATCAGGTTATTCTGACCGATGACTGCACACGCCACTCATGCAGCCAGAGGTGTCCCTGTTTCGTTTGGCAGCCTCACCTGACCACAGTTTCCGGCGTGAGCTAATGCGACCGGCTTCAGAGCTCGACGTTTCTCTGGGACCGGAAAGCCATCAGCTGAGCCGCAGGGGACCAAAATGTCACCGAAATGACACAGAAAATACACCAACTGGCTGTCTTGACAAGAGAAGGAATTAGAGAGGCTATCACTGGTCATTTGTCTCTCATCTCATACCGAAAAGACCTCAAGGAGATTCATGGATAGTTCCCTGAGTTTCGAGATCCTCGTGTCAGAAGCATGCTAATAATCCCGGGTGGCGGACATATGCTGTGAAATGTGTTGGGCGGCATGCACATCATTTGCGGGACAATGCTTCCTTTATTATAACTTCAATACAGCATCTAATATCGTTTTCTGGGAAGCCGAAACGTTATAAACATAAGCATTAGACCATTAAATCCAAACGCCTAAGTCGGAACGCCGGTAGCCATTGCATTTAACCGTTTCCAAGGAGCGTCTAGCAAGGAAAGTCCCGACCTCCTTTGAACTGATGAATTAAGGTCGACACCGGCCGGACGTAACTGTCCCTAACGAGACACCACCGGGGAACCATGGACGGCGGAAAACGGGGGCAGGTCAGAGTAGCGCTCCGGCGACTGCGTGTCGGCCAGGGGCCACTAAAAATACCGTCACGCCGCCGCCGGCCGGCTCTCACTGGCCTGCTGGCAATTGGCGACGACGGTGAGTCACCACCCGAGCGATCCAGGTCACAGAGCCAGGACGGGCGCTGCGTCACCCTCTGAAAAAACGACCCCCCTCGAGGACTCAAGTGACACGACCGACAGATGGAGTGACACAGACCTTCGAGCGGGTCAGGCCAAGGTCAAAGGGTGTTTGAAATGGGATGTTTAACAAACAGTGTCTAGAAAATCAACAACGGAGCTCAGCAGCACCTCCCAGCAACTATCGCGAGCCCTTTCCAACCCACTTCAAGACATCACAGACCATGGTATAATGAAGATAAACGACTAAAAAGTCTAAATGGTCCCGGTGGTGCGTCTCACGTCTGACGCGGTCTCGTCGTTCTTTCCCAGGCCGCTGGAAAGCGCGATCCGCAGCTGGAGGCTGATGTCAAGGAGTGGATCGAGGCCGTCACCGGCGAGAAGTGGCCCGCTGGCGACTACGCCCACGTCCTCAAGTAAGAGACCGAGAGACAGAGAGACAGCTGTTCCGCACTGTCGCTGGTCCCGATCCCAGGATATTGGACACGGAATATCGGGAGACCATGATAGACGCGGCAGACAAGGGGAGCTTTGCTATTTGTTATAACGCTTGCTTAATTTATGTCTCTTCACAGATCCATCAAATGACAGTACGCTACCTACCAAACAATTTATTTATGGTGATAATTATCTCAAATACGGGATAACAGAATCGAGACCCGGTGCCAAAGGCATTGCAGATCATTGTCGATCAAACATCCTAGTTCATATGTTTGACGAGGCCCCGGTCGTCGTTCCAGGGACGGCCAGGTGCTCTGCAAGCTGATGAACAAGCTGATGCCGGGATCCATCAGCAAGATCAATACCACCGGTGCCTCCTTCAAGATGATGGAGAACATCAACAAGTGAGTGGCTTACAGACAGTCCAGGCAGCAGAGCGGATAATTCGAAAAACGAATGCGATAGTTTGATACTCTTCAAGCTTGCAAACGTCATGTCACATAACTGCAAGGTCCTTCATTCCCGAGGGGTACAGTTATACAACCATGCGTGTGACCGTTTTGCTCGAGGAGCAGACAGCTCCTCATAGGTACTTGAGCATTCTCGGTCGGCCGCTGACCACGGTCCTCTCCCCGCAGCTTCCAGAAGGCGATGGTCAAGTACGGCTGCTCGGACGTCGACCTGTTCCAGACTGCTGACCTGTACGAGGGCAAGGACATCGCCGCCGTCACCAACTCCATCTTCGCCCTCGGCCGTCAGGTGATGATCCGGCGCCACTAGCTCACTAGAGGCTTTTCGTTTCACGAGAAATACGCAAATTTCTCGTACGCCATATTGGTCTAAAAATGTCTTGGTGAGGTTCGATTTTTTTCATTATATCAATGCTATTTTTGTGTCATACGAGCGTTTGCATTTCGTTCTGTCCCATTTTTTTATTATATCAATGCCATTATTTTTTATCATTCATGTGTCTGTGTTTTGTTACGTCCATGTGATTTTTCTTTGCCGATTTCGCCACTTTTTTCGTTTGTTTCGTCGTCTGCACATCTTTTGAAGCCGCTTTTTTATTCGAGTCTGGCGACTCGAATCGCTTTCACTGGCCCATGGACGGCCTATACGCGCCGATTATAACCTCTCCATTGGCGCTGGCCCACTCCACAGACCCACATGCACCCGGAGTGGCCGGGCCCTTGGCTGGGCCCCAAGCCCGCAGAGTCCAACGTGCGGACATTCGATGAGGAGACGTTGGCCGCCGGCAAGGCGGTGATTGGACTGCAGGCTGGCACCAACAAGGGAGCGACACAGGCCGGACAGAATATGGGAGCCGGCAGGAAGATCATCCTTGGAAAGTAGACGGCTTTCAGGTAGTCATCGGCTCTTCTCCGCCCCTTCCCCCAGTCCCTCAAATGCGTATGAGAGGTTAGGTCGGATGTGGAGATGGCTGAGAATGTGTTGGCGGTGCCTGGCTGAGCGCGTGGGGCCGCGTTTCCACCCCTCCCGGCTGACACTGTGCCTTCTGCCGCAGACCTACATGCACCCGGAGTGGCCGGGCCCTTGGCTGGGCCCCAAGCCCGCCGAGTCCAACGTCCGCGAATTCGACGAGGAGACCCTGGCCGCCGGCAAGGCGGTCATCGGACTGCAGGCTGGCACCAACAAGGGGGCCACGCAGGCCGGCCAAAACATTGGTGCCGGACGGAAGATCATCATCGGAAAGTAGGGGGAGACGGCGAGACTGTCATCTTCATAACCACACATCTGTGTCGTGTACAATGCTTACTGCGAGGAGGAATCGTGGCGGAAAGTGTGCCCACAATATGTCACTCACATTGTATTATATTATTTTTAGTTCAGAAGCGATGGGATATGAAATGTCTCAGCGCATTTATATACACTGTATTACTGTTTGGAGATGGTTGGGATATGGAATACAGCTGATGTGATGCATATGTTCTACAAAACAGACCATGCACATGAACGAGACAGGTGGATGAAACGAGGCTACAAACCTTAAGTTCGATCAACATCACTCGCGGTATAAGGGCCGCATTGTAGTAGACACAGACACAAATCATATTGCAAGAAAACTTCACACCATTTTTTCCGAGCACTAAAATCAACAACGGCGCTTGGCCCCGTCACCCCCCCCCCCCCCCTTGACAACATGTCCCACCCACTTCACTGACCGGTGCTCGCAATCCGGGGTCCCGGCTCTCGCCAGCTCTCGCCAGTCGGGTCCATCCCGCGCCTGCCGTCCCGCCCGGCGGTCACCCGGCGTCCAGGCGGGTCTGTATGTCTGTCAGCAGTCGGAGGAGCCGGCCGCCATCGGCCGCCGCGCCGCCCTGCCGCCAGTCGCGTCTCAGCCCGGCCAGTCGCTGCTGGATGCCGTCCAGTAGCTGCGCCTCCCGCGGGGGGAGCGAGCCCTCCCCCGGCGGCGACCGACCCGAGCCATCCCCGCCGGTACCGTTCGCCAGACGGGTCGCCGGGCCGTCCGTCACCGGCAGACCGTCCTCTGAGTCCATCGGTCCCTCACCGCCGCCCCCGGCACCCTCAGAGTCCGTCAGCGGTCCCATCCGCGGGAGTATCTCCGGCACAGCGGCCGCCGCGGCCGAGCTGACCCCGGCCCGGGCCAGGGCGGCTGACAGGGCGGCCGGGCCGCGCCGCCGGGCCGCCAGCCGCTGCAGGTGGCCGCTGGCCGTGCCCTGGAGACCGGCCGGCGCCGACACCGCCGCCGAGATCAGAGCGGCGTGCGGCGTCCGTGACGCGAATGCGGCGAACGCGTCCATGGCGCGCTGCCGGACCAGCTGACTGGGGTCGGTCAGCAGACTTCGGTACAGCGCTGCCGGCAAACACCCGTAATACGTGAGGTACACAAATTAGATGAGTTATATGTAACTAGAAAACATGGTAGGTATAAATAAACACAATAATTTGCATTACGAGTTATCCTTGTAGATAATGAATCCTGTGAAATCGTACATCGGCATTTGTGACTATGTAACGTAGGCGCTATTTATAGAATAGCTGGTATCCTAGCATTTGTGACTATGTAACGAAGGCGCTATTTATAGAATAGCTGGTATCCTCACTTGGAATGTAGTGTTTAGGACCATCGTCGCCCTTCACAGACGGAAACTGTCGAGCTTTGATGCTGCCCAATAGGCCAATAACGCCCAGCTTTACCGGCACACTGCACTCGGGCAGCCAGCCGGAGCAGATGGAGAGGACCTGTAAAGCGTCAGGTCGAATTACATTTACATCGTATTCGTTATGCATCCATGCACCACACGGCAACAGTGGAACCAATTACTACCAAAGTAGGCGCGCAAACCGACTGCAGCACATGAGCCGTTAAACAGACCCTACCCTTAAACACCAGCCATGTTTATTCGGTAGCCCGACTCCCTGCCTGACCTCCGTCTGAACTGACCTGCGTCAGCTGCTGGTCGCTGAGCGGAGAGTCGGCCGGCAGGGCGGCTGAGGCTCTCAGCAGACCACAGGCCAGTCGGGAGCCTGCTGGACCGGTCAGCCGGGTCGGCACCGCCGCCCACAGCCGCTCCAGCAGCGTCAGTAGGCGGGATGGTAGACCGGGGACCGCCGGCGGGGCGGACAGGGCCGTGCCGCAGGCGAACAGCGAGTCTGACTGGAGAACACGGCGGGCGGGGGCTGAGGTCACGGCTGGGTGAGGGCGGTTTCAAAAGGCAAGAATTGATGATACGGCTAACTACCGTGAAACTCCGATGTATTCATTCATATAAATATTTACTGCGCGCAGCACCATTAATCGAAGCCGTTCCATTAGCTGCGTAAATTTAGTTCACGGAAGTGAAAAGTCACGTGGATGTTTACATAACTCATCAGCCTACTTGGAGCGCTGCGTAGTCACAACTAAATCGAGTCCAACTTATACCAATAGTGTTGGCAGCCCACGGGTAAGCTCTGAGCCAGCTGAGCTCTGAGCTATGCTTCCATCCCGCCCCCGCCTCGCCGTGCTAACAGCGGCGTCAGCGGCCCGCCCTGTGAAGTTTCTCCAGCGTATAAACACAGCTCAGATCTGGCACTTTACAGAGCAACAGGTAAACGCTCCGAACTCTCTGGCTACAGTACGGCGCAGTTTGGAAAGACACAACTCGGACTAATTAGGGACGGCGCAGACAGACAGCAAACACGTCGGCGCTCCTATGTCAATAGTGGGGTAATTTTAACATGCAAACCAGGGAGGAAGACCCATATTACCTATTCGAAAAGGCATTCTATTCTAAAAAAAAAACTAGAGACTATCCGAGATCGCTTGCTACTTTACCCATCGCTCCTGTATGCTTTGTCAAGTCACCTTATTATACTAAGGGAATTCGCTCAAATATTATGTAGCTCACACCTGCAGGCTGCATGCTCACAGTTCGCACCAGGGAAGATACTGAGCTGACTCCTAAACAATCCATACTGCCTGTGACTGTTCGGTAGCCGATAAACGACAGCCAATAGCCACCCCCTACGTTCCACCCGTTTATTCGGGAGACTGACTCCCTACATGACTCTACGGGATATGGGCTCCTAGTCCTCACCCCGCTCCCTACCCACCGCCAAACCCTACCTAGCACGACAAAACGCAAAGGTCACCAGTCACCAGAGGGCTCAGACTGGGACAGTACGGCGAAGTACATACACACACATACTTAAAAGTCCCATCCCACAGTTACGCCGCCCGTCTCCGGCACGTACCAGCGCAGTGACCTGTGCGGCGGTCCGCCGGTCCGGTCTCCCAGTCAGCTGTTCGGTCTCCTCCTCAGCGGCAGTCAGGGCCGACTCGAGCAGCGCTGGCGGGCAGGCCGGGTGCAGCAGGGAGGCGGCGGCCGGCCGGCGCAGCAGCTGATCCCGGTCCTCTGCGGCGAGCAGAGGTACCAGCCGGCACAGGAGGCGGCGCAGCGGCGGACAGCGGCGCCGGGAGAGCGCGCCGGCCGCCGCGTCACAGTAGGAGCGGCACAGCGCCGCCGGGCCGTACCTGAGCCAAAAGAATTAACGGTTACTGATATATGTAGCTAGCCACAGTCACTCTAGGGTCCCAGACTGTGTGGGAAAGTTTGGTCACGGAAAGAGCGCATCGAACATTAAACCTATTCTGTCATTTATCACAACATTCTTAAGTCTTTGAAATATGCACACACGCACAAAAGCCAAGCAGTCTGAAAGACGTGAATGCGACGTGAGTCTGACGATAAACCGTTGCTACTGTGGATGCTCAGACTGCACTCACCTGGCGATGAAGCAGAGCGTATCGGCGGCGAGCAGTGACGCCCAGCCGTCTCCGCGGCACAGGTGGCGCCACAGATGCAGCTCCGCGGCGCGCAGCTCCGCCGCCGACAGGCTGCCTGAGGGGCGGAGGGGACCAGTGAGCAGAGTAGTTGACTGACAACTGACATGCAGAATAGCGGAAAAATATCGACAGCTCATAACATACGAGTCATAACATAGTAAGTCATAATAACACTCGTATTAGTCATAACATAGTTATAAGTCAGTCATATTAAACGTGGGACTGATCGAAAACAGCTGTGGTAACGCTTCAGCTCAGTGACTCAGTCACATACTTCTCAATAAATTTACAATTAACTACCTAGTACCAATTTAACTACACAAGTTGGCTACATGCACCTACCAAAGCCATATAACTATTATACAGCAGTCCCATTGGCAAGTCTGATCACATATTCGGTAATTGCACTCTGCAATGACTGCGGCACTCTCATGGTTCCTTACCGGCCAGGGCGCAGACGGTAGACAGGGTGAGTTGGTACAGGCTGACCTGAGGCCGGCCCTGGCCGTCGCAATCCAGCTGGAGGCAGCACGTCAGCTCCCGGTCACCTGGACAAACGGCACGGTCAGATCAAAATGACGACTAACACCCGTTGACATAGCGCGGTTTCCCATTACCATGGAAAAAAGAGCATATCTACACGCGAGTAGATAACACACCATGCGAGGAATAAAACAAACGGCTCCGATTAAGTGCGACAGAGAATCCACTACTTACACATAGGCATGAGCCGGAGCACCGCCGCTATCAGATGGCGCTCGCCCTCCCCCTCAGAGGTCCAGCTAGTTCGCGCCGGCGCCGCCAGGTGGCAGGTGCGGCGGATCAGGATCAGGCAGCAGCGCAGCCGACACAGGCCTCCAAGGTCCTCAGAGTCAGATAGAGCCGACCAGAACGACTGGCGACGGAACACAGATTAGGTCAGGGCAAACACCTAGTCAGAGAATAGGGCAGAACACTGAAAATTATCTGCATGATGCTGGATGCATTATCATCAAAATAATGCTACATTGAAATCACTATTTATTAGTCACCGTGGAAATCACCAGCCAATTTCATTAATACACACACGTCTTCACAAACAATGTAAAAGTGTTCCAGTCACTACTCACTACACTATCGACTTTAGGCAACATATCATTACAACAGTTTCAACAGCAATACAAAAGATAAGATACAATTATATGGACGCTAGACTGAAGTGCAAGTAAAAACGCAAAACCACTTCTAGTGCCACTGGCCGTTTCAAACGCTGGGAGGCCGTTAATTGATGTCGATCAGACATATCACCTGTGGAAAGTCCCGGTGTTCCATCAGACAGTCGAGCAGCGGTTCGGCGGCCACCGTCAGCTGACTGCTCAGCTGACCGAGAACGGACGGGTCCACGTCGGTCACGTGACTGTCCGGTGCAGAGAACCTGCCAGGCAGAGGGAGAGTTCAGAGAAACGGTAACCACCCTCCACTGACTGATGGCAGGAAATTCCAACTGATCTCTACCAAGAGGTTCGATGGAGTACGGTGAAAATGCAATTCACATAGGCCAAAAAGACGTTCCAGTCGGACGTCATGGTCAGTACTATGATGGAGTATGGACCTGCCCAAAAGACAGCACGGTAAAATATGAAAAACACCACTCATTCCCCTAAGAACGAAAGTACATAAGACAACACATACCTGGAGTAGAGTCGTATCTCTCGAGACCATCACCAGTCACCACAAAAAAAAAAACTGAACAGCCTCCCGCATATTCAGCCCCCCCCCCAATATCACCACACGAGATCACCCTACGTCCTCCCCGCCTGCGGCGCGCCCACCTGATCAGAGTGAGCACGAGTCTGACGAGGCTGGTGAGCGCGCCGCCGACGGAGCTGACGTAACTCTCCGACAGACCGACCACCAGCTTCAGGTAGAAGCTGCACATCTTCACGGCGCGCGCCAGACGCTTGTCAGAGCTCGGAGCGGAGGTCTGGCGTCACAAAGATACATAGTAGCGGTCAGCAAGGTCAACGAGTAACATCGTATCAAGGAGAGTGAAAAACACGGCACTCTCGAAACAAATCAATTATTTCGCGTCAATTCTATCGTAAGTGAGGTGCCAGAAAATATTTCCTCAGCCTGTAAACTAGAGCACGCAATTATCTTCCACACTATAGATATTTGTGACGTGTCGGTCATCGCCACCGTAGGTTGGCGCTGCTCCGAGCCCCGCACGCACCTTATCCCGACCACGCTCCCTGACCGTGGCCAGCTGCGAGGCCACCTCCGCGGCCATGTAGGTCAGCGCGTCCCCCAGCCGGACGGCGGGCGGCAGGAGGTCCGGCAGCCGCTGCAGCAGGCGCAGGTAGCACTTCCAGGCCTCGGCCATGGCGCGGGTATCCAGCTGGGTCAGCTGGCGACCCGTCTCCGCCACATCGTCACACACTGGGGGGGGGGGGGGGCAGGTCAGGTCAGCTGGCGACCCGTCTCCGACACATCGTCACACACTGGGTGGAGGAGGGAGCAGGTCAGGTCAGATGGCGACCCATCTCCGCCACATCGTCACACACTGGAAGGAAGGAGTAGGTCAGGTCAGATGGATAATCATCTCCACCACAACCACCACACAGTGATGAGGGAGGAGCACAACAGGTCAGGATTCAGGTCATATGGGAAGCTGTCTCTGTTTTATCATCACAAACCGAATGGGGGAGGCAGGGTAAGATTTCAGACAGTCTACTCATGGCCTCTCTCAAACATATTGTGAGATACTGATGGGGGAAGGCAAGGTAGGACACATCAGGTGACCTGCTGACTCATCTTTGCCACACATTGACAATCTACAGTGCACACATGGAGAAAGCAAGGTCGAGCAGGTTCAAGTTGGACCAGTGTGCAGTAATTACACATATCAGCATCCCCCTCTCCCTGTCCCACCCACCTGTTGTCAGCAAGGTGACAGCCTGTTGGTCCTGATGACTGCTATCAGCTGAGACAACAGCATCAGCCAGCCGGTGAAGAGCACTCTGCAGACTCGTGGCAGCCCGGAACAGCCTGGTCAGGGGGCCATTGACAGACTCCAGCATGGAGCCATACAGCTGTGAGCTGCCAAACAAAGGGTCAGGTTCGTGAGGAGACACAGACATGACAAGTAAAGCCAATGGAGACAGGGGAGAATGGGAGTTCAGACTTCAGAGTTCAGCCACACAGATATAAGTTCAGAAACAGTCAAGACTCAGGGGAGGGGACTCAGGGAAGTTCATAAACTCCATCACGCAATTATCCATAGGTGATCAAAAATTAGCAGATTCTTGGCAACAGTTTACCAAGGAGTAAGGGCCCAAGATGCAAAAGTGTTTGTCCCTTCTTATTCTTTCATTAGCGGTTGTCACCAACTGACCTCTCCTGGCAGTGGTTGTAGGTGGCCTTGATACATTGAAATGCTGGTGACATCAGGCCATCCAAAAACTGCACCTGCTGCAGACTCCTCTCCTCGGCACACTGGCAGCATGCCGACATAGTATCTAGTATCTCTGTTGAAACCTGGAAACAAATGCCAGCTTGACATCAGAGTCTTGCAGCTACTTATGTATATACCTGCAGAAACAAATGCAATACAAATATGTTATCAATGTAGTGTATTTCTATATTAATACCTAACACAAATTAAGCATCATGGTTTAACTTATGATTTTTGCTAAGCATAAAATCAAGAATTGCCACTTTCATTCCTCCAAAAACCTTCTTTAAACATGCCAAAAATACACATTTTTAACTATATATACCTGGAGAAGCTTTGAAACTTGACTTGCATTTTCCCATGCTTTCAGACTCAGTAATGTGTTCTTGCATGCTGCTTCTGCAGCTGGAAGCAGTGCTCTGCACACAGACAATATCTTTGACCCAGCCACAAAAATTAGAGCTTTCTTTAGGAAGGTACTGAGGACTGTAGCTTGGGTAGGTGGCTCTGATAACTTCAATATATCTTTAATTTCTTCCAGAAATTTTTCACACTTTTCTTCAGCATCATTCCCATGCAGAAGGTCCAACTTTTTGACGAAATTTTCAGCCATGCTGGGCAATGGAGACTTATGATGTAACGACTTATGAAAACCAAATGACTGTGACCATTTTCAAAAAGTCTGAAAAAGAATTCAGTTTGAGTTGCTCCCTGTGTGTGGACTTCTGTAATAAACAATTGAAGTTCACAAAGGGCGCATCTGCGTCATTATTCGCTCACTCTTGAATCGGCCGCCAAATTCTGTAGTGCTGCCAAATGCAAAAGTAACCCTTGCCCAGAATATTTTACCACGAATTTTGCGAAATGGTGCGGTGTGGCCTCATAACGAAAAATATGGGCCATTGCCTGATTTCTATGAAAAAATTGGTTTATCCCGACTTTCAAATGTGAGGAAGGGTAGGAGATTGAGTCTATAGCCGTCAGGGCTACAAAAAGCTTCACCTATAAACAAGATCGTTTGCCATTCAATTTATATGGTTTGCCAGTTGCCAATAGCACCCAGATGGCCGGGCGCCCTTCATTTGCTTGCGGACCCAACCTGTCAGTTACAGAGTTGAGGTGCTGAGCCAAGGGAAACGCCCGACAAAGGCAGCAACAAGCAAGGAAATGACACATTTTATTGCAGGATCGATGGCAGACACCCGAATTGCACGTTTACGTTCGCTACAAACGATGCATAGCAGCCTGCAGCACATAGTGCTGCTAGAACGACCTGAAGAGATCGTGACGTTTGGTATGACATAGCAGCCAGAAGCCCCTCAACAGTGACATTAATGGAGCCCAGGCTGCACAACATCCAAGGACATGCAAGCATAATTCATCGCACAGAACATCAGACAATGAGCAGTTCTCATCCCATCTCCTCAGAAATTGCATAGCAAACAATCGCTGGAGCCTACGGACGAGAGGCCCATCTGCAGTTACCTGAATCTATGGACATCGTCCATACATAATACCGCTTGTATCACATTCAGACATCTCACTGCAGCACGCAGGTCACCTATCACATCCCCCACACACCCCGCTAGCTCTGCTGCACCTGCCACGAGCTGTCCAGGTCCGGGCACTGTTTGCCCAGGATGCACGTGCCGGTGACAGCCGGCCGCGCCAGGTAGGTCTCGGCCACGCGCCGCAGATCGTCCCTGGTGACCGCCTGCAGGCGCGATCGGTGCTCGTCAAACTGATCGTCCGTAATGCCGTGCAGGAAGTGTCGCATGCCGCGCTGGGCGGGCACCACGGGCGCGTCCACGGCCTGGAACACGCCCAGCTTGGCGCCGTCTACCTCCTCCGGGGAGAAATCGCGCTCGCGCGCCACCTGCACGGCGCCGTCGAACACGCGTAGAGTCGCCAGCGAGGAGGGGTCGCGGTAGCTGTAGTAGGACCACAGGCCGGCCGGCGAGGCGACCGCTCCGCCGCCGTACGCGCCGCCCTTCTCGCGGATCTCGCGGTGCAGGTGGCCCAGTGATAGCAGACGCGCCAGTACGCGCAGCGCCGCAAAGTCCGGGTGCGCGTACGGCACGGTGGGCACGCAGCGCGCCGCGTAGTGCACCGGCATCGGCAGCTCGACATAGGTCTGGCAGCCGGCGGGCGCGAACTCGGGCTGCACCCAGCTCTCGGCGCGACCCTCGCCCAGCGCGCGCACCAGCAGCGACTCAAGGCCAGCCAGAGCCGTCGGCAGGCCGGCAGCCGTTCCATTCAGCGCGCACCGCATGCCGTCCTTCATCAGCAGCATCTCGGCCAGCATCTTCAGCTTGGTGACGGTCATGTCGAGCTCGCCGTCGGTGACCAGCTGCCGGACGTAGCGCACCTGGTCCAGGCCCGAGTAGAGCTGGCGCAGCTGGGCCGAGCCCGTCAGGCCGGCCGCCGCCGAGCTCATTGCGTACTGGTGGCCGGCGTGCGGCACGCTGTTGGCCAGCTCGGCGGCGCTCATCTGCAGCTGGCTGCTCAGTCGCTCGCGGTTCTCAAACGTCACGCCCGTGAAGATGTCCTCCCAGAGGCCGAACATGCGCTCGGCGTTCTGTTCGAGGCAGTAGGAGGTGAGGAGCATGCCCTCCTCGTAGCGGCCCGGCTCGCTGGGGTGGTCGGTGACGGTGACGGCGGCGGACAGGCCGCCCGTCCACAGCTGCTGCTGCTGGTCCTGCTGCCGGTAGTCCAGCTGGCCGGCGCCCATGCTGGTCACCAGCCGACAGAAGAGCGGCAGCAGCGGCCGGAAGTAAGCCGGCACACCCGAGGTGTCCACCACCGCGCGGAAGTAGGTGATCCCGTTGGTCGGCTGCTCGGAGACCTGCACCGGTGTCGCCGACACCGTCTCGCGGCGCACCTCGGCGCGGGGCGCGTGCGGCGCGATGTCCCGCCGCACATCCAGCATGGGCAGACTGGAGGCGTCGTCCCCGGCCGCCTGTTTCTCCTGCAGCAGTCGGCCGTCCTCGAGCACCCTCTGCCGGTCGGCGTCCGACAGCGCCGCCACGCGGCCGGCCAGCATGTCCGCCTCCTTCTTCTGCAGCTCCGTCTCCAGCGCCAAGTCCGGCGTCATGACGGTCACCAGCCGGTGGCGGTTGTCGCGCAGCAGGCGCGCCAGCCGCTCCTGCAGCAGGCGCGGGTTGTCGGCCATCTCCCGCCGCAGCCGGGCCAGGTGTGTGTCCAGACTGAGCGCGTCCAGCGGGTCACCGCCGTGGAACCAGGGCGCCACCACCTGCATCACCAGGCCCAGGCCGAAGTGGTTACTCTGGTGTTTGCGGCCGAGCTCCAGCCGGTGCAGCACGGCGTCCACCCGCTCCTGCTCGAAGCCCTTCTCGGCAACTTCGGCCAGCGTTTTGTCGATGATCTCCACCACCTTATCTGTATCGGCGTCGGCTACGCCCTGCAGACCCACCGAGAACACCGTCTCACGACACGAGTTGTCGAACCCGGTCACATGCGGCGTGTAGTCATCGCCGAGACCGGACTCGACCAGCGCCTGGTAGAAGGGCGACGACGGGCCGTCCACCAGCAGCTCCGACAGCACAGTCATCAGCAGCGACTCGTAGCTGTCGGTGACGTCGCCCACCAGTAGGCTGACGGCCACGCTGGCCTGCCGGTCAGTCCGCGGGGACAGAGGGTCGTAGCGGCACTTCAGCTGCTCGCGGCGCGGCGCGTCCCAGCGCGGTTCCAGCGGCACGCGCGTGTCGCTCGCGGCCACCGCCGGCGCACGCGACAGGTACTGCTCGTGGAGAAACTTGAGCCGCGGCTCGAGCGGCAGGTTTCCGTAGGAGAAGATGCGGCAGTTGCGCGGGTGGTAGTGGGTGGCGTGGAACTGCTTCAGCTGCTCCCAGGTCAGCTCGGGGATGTGCAGCGGGTCGCCGCCCGAGCAATGGCGGTACGTGTGAGACGGCAGCAGGGCATTCTGCACGCGCTCGGCAAACACCCGGTGACGGTCCGAGAGGGCGCCCTTCATCTCATTGAACACCACTCCCTTGAACACGATGGGCGAGCTCGGGTCCTCTGGGTTCTCGTGCTCGAGTCGCCAGCCCTCCTGCAGAAAATCGAGCCGTTCCAGGCGCGGCTCGAACACGGCGTCCATGTAGATCGCCAGCAGGTTCATATAATCGGCCTCGTTGCACGTGCTGAACGGGTACATGGTCCAGTCGCTGGCCGTGAACGCGTTCATGAACGTGGCTAGAGACCGGTTCAGCATCTTGAAGAAGGGGTCTCGCGCGGGGAACCGGCGGCTGCCGCAGAGAGTCGTGTGTTCCAGGATGTGCGCCACGCCGCTCGAGTCCTGTGGCGTGGTCGGGAAGCCGATACTGAACACGTTGTCCGGGTCATCGCGAGCCACGTGTAGGTACTGGGCGCCGCTGGTCTGGTGCTCCAGCAGCGCGGCCGAGGCGCTCAGTTCGGGCAGCTCGCGGACCTGGCGCACGCGGAACCCGTGCACGTCCTGGTCCACGGCCGGCAGCTGAGAGAGCGGCCGGCTGAGCGGTCGGCGCCACGCGGCCGCCGCCGACCGACACACGCGCCACAGCATCACGGCGCCGACAGCAGACCAGCGCAGACGGAGGTACCGTGCGGCCGAGACAGGAGTCAGCGGCCGGTCCAGACGTCACCCCGAGCTCTGTAACAAACACACAGCCATCAGCGCAGTCGGTACTCATCGCTCGTCTAGTCAGCGGCACACAATATTATAAGGATGACGTTGGCTGATTTTGGGCATGTTCAGTGACATCGTTATTCGTCAACGACAACATTATGCATTTGAGGCTGCCAGCTGGCTGTTTTACTCATGGCGTGCGGTGATTTTTCATGCACTTGCGTGCCAGTTGAGAGCAAAGGGGGAGAAACAGTGGTCGTTTAAAATAACAAACACAAACAAAAACCAGTTTCAGACTTCAGTCCAGCCCTGTATTGTGTTGATATTTCGGTACATTTAGCTACTCCGATCTAATATCAATGCTCATCGGCCGCGGCTGAAACCGGTTCCCTTTTTTGCTAGTGACAAGTTGCATCTCCACAGTCGAACACGAGCTGCAAGTCCAGCCGGTTTGCTTTGTGAATCTGTCGGGCGGGGCGGTGACCGACTGACCGATAGCGAAAATAAGGGGGGCCTTGTCCCCCATACTCCCTATTCCGACTACAGCCGGTGAGGGGGAGGGCGGGGGAGGGGACGGCGAGGTGTGGCGACTGGCGGAGGCCGGTTTTCGGGGGAGGAGGGGGACAAACGGACCACACCCAGACGCACTGTGGCAGTATAAAACGGCGCAACGGACACAAATGGACATTCAGCAGCGGAGGTAGCAACAGGAGCAGCAGCAGCACAGCGGTAGCTGTACGAGGCCATCATGAAGTGCGCGGTAAGAAACGAAAAATAGGCACCTCACAGCAACCAAACAGGCAACTCTTAAAACTGTCGTCATCTGTCAAAATTCGCTATAGTGGATAATGAACTAAACATATCACATTTGAATGATATGACGGTCCTAATGAATCATACAAAAACTAGGTTGTTGTTCATTGATCATTCTTTACTCTATCACCGATTTCGCACATGTCGAGTATTTCTATGCGCCATGTTGTCAGTTTTGAGATGGCCCGTGTCTGTCTGCCAACCGCCGCCCGCCGTGCAGTCACTGCTCACTGGCCTCCCGTCCCCGCAGATCATCCTGCTGTGCGTTGCGGCCGCCCGCGGTCTCACCATGATGCCGATGACACACGGCCTCCGCAGCACGGCCGTCTCCCTCCGCACCGGGATGCCCATGTCGGTAAGTGGCTGGCAAAGTGCCCTTGGTGCCTCCCAGCAGTGACGCCTCGGCAGGTAGTCGTGAGTGTGACAGCCGAATGAGCTACAGCCCCCTCTTGATGGAGCAAATGTGTCGGCTCTAATCTCCGTGTTTCGATACGAACAGTATTTAACGTGTCATAGCTACCATTGCACACTAAGACGACGCTACTTAAATTTCGATGAATCCCTGAGTCCAGCCTGTTGACCAAAACCATTACATTCACAGTTCCTCCGCAAGAAGCGCGATGTAGACCAGCAGGCTGATGCAGCTACCCTGCTCTACACCACGCCCTACGCCGGCCTGGGATACAGCAGCTTCGGGTACAACTACCCCCTCATCCTCCGCAAGAAGCGCGATGTAGACCAGCAGGCTGACGCGGCTACCCTGCTCTACACCACGCCCTACGCCGGCCTGGGATACAGCAGCTTTGGGTACAACTACCCCCTCATCCTCCGCAAGAAGCGCGACGTTGATCAGCAGGCTGACGCGGCTACCCTGCTCTACACCACGCCCTACGCCGGCCTGGGCTACAGCAGCTTTGGGTACAACTACCCCCTCATCCTCCGCAAGAAGCGCGACGTTGATCAGCAGGCTGACGCGGCTACCCTGCTCTACACCACGCCCTACGCCGGCCTGGGCTACAGCAGCTTTGGGTACAACTACCCCCTCATCCTCCGCAAGAAGCGTGACGTTGACCAGCAGGCTGACGCTGCCACATTCTTCTACTCGCCCATTTCTGCCCTAGGGTACAGCAGCCTAAACTACCCGTTCTATTTCCGCAAGTAAAGCAGCATATGTTGGCCACAAACAAGGAAGTGTCTTCCAGAGGCTGAGATATGGCATCCTTCAATCCACTATTCCAAGACTGCTGAGCAACAGATATGCGCTTTCAGCAAGATCATGCCCGAACTGTATCCTTCAAGTGTTCACAATGATGTAACTATGCTAGTTGACCATGCACTGTGCATTTGAAGATCATTTAGAAAAATAAAAAACATCTGGCAATAACGAATGTGAAAAGTCAGACATAAATATGAGGCACTTTGGAACGTCAAGCCGTCTGAACTGACCTTACTGGCGTACACCACGACCACAAGAGGACTTGGGGGGGGGGGGGGGAAGTTGGCAGCAGGGCACTACAATCACCAAAAGAGCTAGATACTTCATACCAGAGGCTCCATCTACCAGGGGGAGGGGAGTTGTGGGGCATCCGGAACCTTCCTTCCATTGTTACTCCAATATTCCAGATGGGTAACTAGGGGAGACCCGGGAGGTATGGGCCGGTATTGTGAACAGGTAATTTTCTTCCAGTGGCCAGTAGCTAGACCCGGTTTTTCACTCTGTGTACGTGAAATTGCCTTTCGCCTGCAAAGTGTGCCTGATATTAGGCATCTGGGATCAAATGTTTTGTCTCGAGATAACTTTCAATAAATCATGCACTTTTCCGACCCATCAAAATACACCGGGAGGTATGGGCCGTGGCCCGGGAGGTATGGGCCGGTGCCATGTTTCATATTCTTTTCTCGACAATGAAAACAATACTCGTAGAGATGGGATCTACCTTGATCTCTCCTTGAGCCCAGGAACCGCATAAGCGGCCAACAGCTTACTTCATGGAGGTCACTTGGGCAAGTATGTAGGTATTTTGGTAAACTCAATCATGCTCCATGAAATAAGATGAATAATATTTTTCTATTTCGAATGAAATTTATAGTTAAATTTTCGACCTTGCGCGATAAAAATAAAACTTATTGAAGAGGACATTCAATGAACGCATCATTTTATTGATTTAGGATCAACGGGGGTAGGTGGCCCGAACCTCCCGTTAGGACGTCAGGCTCATAATCTTGCAAGAAAGCTTCAAATTGTCTATCAAGTCTTAACCCGCGCCCCGTTGAGGTCTGGCAGGTTCCACGTCCTCCAAAGGGCCCCCGTGGTATCTCCGGAACCAATAGCCGGATCGGAAAAATTCAAACGGCAATCGAAAGAGCTCATCGAAATGCACAAGATAGGATATCGATGACCTTGATATTTGACCTGTGACGTCACAGGGAGGTCAAATAAAGTCAAATCAATTATCAGTCCAATTTGCAATGACGAGAAGTCGGTCATAAAAATGAAATCTAAGTTTTCAAAATGAGTCTGAATATGATGTATATGATAGATCTGATCTGGCATGTGGATAGTCACCTGAGTGGATGATGACCCGTGACGTCACAACAGGGGTCAGCCTCGACCAATCAGAAAACACTTTGGTGAATCGTAAGGAAAGACATGTTAAAGGAAAAGGGCCACCTTCGTGAAATATGAAGATATCGTTGTTTTTCATTTTGACATTATTATTTTTCATTTTCTTTTCAAAACTGGTGCCAGAAGTGCACAATTCGCTAAAAAGTATTTAAAACTATTTAACATATTGGTACTATGTTGATACTCTCTACGGCACCTACTGTATGATGGCATAGCGATGACGTCACACTCAAGCCAATCAGCGTTCAGAAGACAGACTCGTCGGATTGTGTCAGATAAGCTGATTGGTTAAAGCTGAGCTGGTTGGAGCTGATTGGTAAAAAAACCAAAGCCTCGCCGCGGGTGGCTGTATTGTCGGATAAGAACGCATTCCTGGGATAAGGACGCATTCCTGGCGTATTTTCTTTTAAAATTGCCGATAACTACGAATGGAGGCCGAAATCGGCCGTAAGGAGGTAATCAGATAGGTTTTCGGACACGGGCTACAAGATGGCTATCTCAGTTTCAATCCCCATGTTAAAGGTGGCCCTTTTCCTTTAAATTGTGAATATTCGACTCTTTATGAAGGCATGTCATGTATATATGCATCCACAGAAACCTCCTTGACCATTTTTCTTGGACCTATGACGTCACAGGAAGGCCAAATAAGGTCAAATTGTACCGGTTTACAACGAAAAACAATTTTTTACGTAAAAGTGACTTTAGTCACGTAAAGGATCACATTCAGTCAGGAAGAGGTTGATAAGATTCATAAATATTACTCCTGACTGATTTCAAGCACAAATACCGAAAATGTTGTGACGTCATAAGAACAGTCGCTACTTTTTCAGTCATTCAAATGGCTATATCTCAGGCAGTTTTAAAGATATTTTGTTAATTTTTGGCATGTGTGAGGCCAGTAAGGGGTTCTCTAACAAATATTCCGGTATTGGAAAATTTCTCCAAATTTCAAAAAATATCTCAAGAAATCTAAATTTTGAGTTAGAAAATCCCTAGATCTAGATATTTTTATATTTTGGAAATTTCGAGATAGGTAGCCAATTTGTTTGCCATACTTTTTATACCTACGGTCCAATTTTTGAGTCGCTAAGTTAAAACCATGATTTTCTGCGATTTTTCTCCGTGAACAACTTTTTCGACGAAAAATCGCCGAATATCACCTCAGTTTGACCTCTATAGCTCGTGACCTGAGATGACCTGGGACCTAATTCTTTTCAGGGATTGTGTAAAATTAATGTCCGGAGAGGTACTGAATGTTTCAAGTCGAAATTCGCAGCCGTTTCTGAGTTAGCTCCGAAAAATTACAGGGGGGCCGGGGGGGCCTTGGCCCCCCAACGGGTCGCGGATTAATTTGCATGCTTGCAATTGCAACTCTATCTTAGAGATGGTCTGACATCAAAAACGAGCCTGGTTCAATTCATCACAAATTTTACGTATGTACTGTATTTTACCCGAAGAGGGCAAAAACGCTTTATTACCGCTCATTGCCAAAGAAGACTGAGGAAGACTTTGGAAATCACGTGGGTTGTATGACGGAATGGCTGCTACCAGTTTACCTGGTCAAATGAGTAAAAATATACACTTCTTCAAAACTGCGATGGCCCTTACCTCCAAGGGGCCCATAACTCCCGGGTCTCCCCTATAGCTTTTGTAATATTGAGTGAAAATAAGTACTGATTTTCACATAAGTTTCATTTTAAGTTTCAAATAAGTTTCATTTTCAAATAAGATTAGAGATTTCCTGGATCGGCAACTCTCCGTCGGCGCCTTTGATGTAAGCGACCACGGCTGGCCACCTAGCGGCGGAGTGGTGAAGCTTGGTGAGATAGGACGGCGGAGGGTTGGGCGCTAATCCCTGTGGTAAACTGCGGGCCAAGATCAATCGAATTTAGGGATTGAACGGCTGGGTGCGGTGCGTTAAAACGAAGTTATGGTGTCGGGAACGTCCAGTAAGTCCATATTTGTCCTCAACGAAGTAATCGGACCATTGGGGTAAGACATTTTGTCTCGGCAGAGGACGTGCATGCCCAGTCGCCAAGCTCTTATGCCGGCGTAAAATGCACGCATCACCATCTTTTGATAACACACTGTTCAATCTTTTCCATCCTCAGGATAGTCAAATCCTTTTCCTCCACGCCTCAACCCCCTGATCCGGGCTGGACGGGCAACTTTATCCCATGCGGGCAGCTCCGCCAGAGCACACCCGTAACCGGGTGCAGAGTACGGGGACCCGCAGTTGCTACTGTACAGTGTACAGCGACCCTGAGTAAATTGTCTCAGCACCCTCACAGTGAACAAAGATAAGCTGTCAGAGGGCACGCACAGAAAACCTCAGCTGCTCTTGTATAGGGACCGGCAGTCGATATCAATATTATCGGTTGTTACTGGACAGGACAGACGGCTAGAGTTGGGGTTCGTGTACAGTAGCAACTGCGGGTCCCCGTACCTACTTGGGAGGCTGGTCGGCCCGTCCATTCGGACGGGCTCAGCCCCGGCGGGCGGCGACTCACTAAGTCCTAAGAGTGCCTGCCAAGACCAATGTCTCCCCTAATTCTAATCATCATAGGCGGTGGAACGGGGGGGGGGAGTACCGTACCCCCTTTGATTTTGGCATTTTAACATTAGCCCCATGGGCGTTGCATGGAAAGAATGGGATCAAAAGTCGGCAGTTCCCCTTAATTGAAGTTGTCCCACCGCCACTGCCTATCATCGTTCCGGCTCTGAAATGGTCTCGTCAGACCGAAAGGGCCTAACCCAACAAAACAAACAAAGAAACAAATCACTTCGCTATAAAATAATCTCGGAGCCGCAATTTCGGCACTAACGGGCTCTTCTTACTTCAGCACGTCAAATGCTATATTCTTTGCTTGGTGGATGGATACCTAAGGTCAACTCGAGTGTGGACCTCAGGTCAAGGCCAGTCAGCTCAAAGTCACTAAGGTCACGAAGTTGGTTGAAGGAGGTTGTATTGCATACCTATTATTCGATTCAATGGTCTTCCTGAGTCCATTGATGGCTTTTGCGACTCGCTAACTCGATTTGATGAGATCATTTCCGGCACCAAAATAACAGTTGCCATAGTTCCCCGCAATGACAATAGTGGCTTATAATGGTGAGGTCATGTTAGCGACCTGGCCTCAGGTGCCCTTTAAGAAAAATCCAATATATACAAGTAAAGAGGTCTTGGGAGCAGGGCTGCGGAGTCCGGAGTCGACAGTTCTGACCGGGGCCGGAGTCGGAGTCGATTTTGCGAACCGGAGTCTAGCCGCCGAAAATCCATCGACTCCGCAGACCTGGCAAGGCTGCAGAGTCGGAGTCGAAGTTGAAGTCGGTCGGAGTCGACAGATCTGCCCGGAGTGGGAGTAGAAGTGGGAGTCGGAGTCATCGAAAATTCATCGACTCTGCGGCCCTGCTAAGTTTCATCTTCCAGTGAAAATCGTCTGGCACTGAGGGCGTTGCGAAGTTGCAGCATTGAACTATTTTAGGACCGTGCAGAACGGCAGAGGTTTACGTATGACGTCATAGGTCAGTGATCTGACCCGACCTGAAAATGTGGTTGATTTCACAAGATCCGGCTTGAATCAAAGGCCTGGTGTTCCAAGTTTCAGCTCTTTATCCCCAGCGCCATACGATCAATCGCGAAAAAAACCGTCAGGGTGGGGCGACGCCTGAGTGACCCGCCCCCCTCCCCGTCGGCCCCTCCCCGTGTTAAAGTTAAATCCTTCTCAACTCATAAAGAGTATGAAAAACAGTGCCGTTATCCTTTATCAGTTGAACTTCGAAGATAAACTGCTCAAAAACCACCCAACCACCTCGTCCCATCATTGGAACGCATAGCCGCCAAACACCGGCGTCCTATCTGGAGTTGGCGCATGCGCACTGCGATATTTGGTCGCGAATCGAGGGAGAGTTGCCAATCCAGTAAATACTTCATCCATGATGGCACCTACGCACTTGGAATGAGTTGACTGTCATAGCTGCATGCAAGCAGAGTTTTGGAGTTTGAGTCAAAGTTGGAGACTGGAGTCACCTGGAGTGGTGGCAGAGTGTGAAATCTGGGCGCTGCTCAACGGCACCGCAAACTGCTGGGTGCTGAGTGCGGTGTGTGCAACAGGCGTGGGGGTAGGGGATGGATGGTCGGTACGACGGCACAATTCATCCCGACCGGTCCCGACCGACCACAGCAGTCGCTGTGTGCGTGCGGTGACGGAATGATGACGTAGGGACGCAGTGGGTGGAGCTTGGAGCCTGTATGGTCCTACCTCACACAGGGCCCGTGAACAGCCCACTGAGTTGTCAAAGCTGCCTCAAGTATCAGCCCAGGAATCAGGTGTATTAGAATGGGTCAAAAATTGGCCAAGAGGTTGAAAAACCTAACACTTATCATATTCACATATTTTAAAAAATATTTCTGTGTTGGTTCTGAATAAATAAAAAATGCCTTTGACTTTACACCTGACACCATAGTTCGGTCCCAGTCCTTCCCATCTAAGTATAATTTGACTCCCTGAGGCTCGAACAGAAAAACATTCTTTGAAGTAGGAAGGCAGGTGTCATACTTCCCCGTAAAGTGCTGAAGGCAGTGTGATAGGCTGTGGCCATGAGACAGCTGCCAGATTATGATGTCACAAAGCACAAAGGTATCATCAACACAGTGATTTCAATGAGAGGAACCTGCCTAGTGGAGGCTGGAGCAGGAGGATCATAAGTGATAACTGATACGTAGGTACAGATTTTCAGTGTCCCAAAATGTGGTGATTTGGGTGGGAAACTTCAAACTACATCCAAATAAAAATCATTTTTCACTCTCATCTCTAATTTCTAAGAACACTTCTCCACTCCCAATTTTACCAACAAAAACTTTTGCATGGAATCTCTTTTTACATCTTACATTTTACCACACTTGTACATAAATTTATGCCATTGATCCCTTTTCACTCTTTTTGGGCCTTATCTGTAATTTGACTGGCAATTTTCCACTCTTATCCCCATTTTTGGAGAGGAACTTCCCCTCTGACACCTAAGCCCAAACACAATTTTGGGACACTGCGGATTTTGAGCTGTCAAGATTGAGATCACGGTTTTGAGTCCCACTACCCTGCCCTACCCTGAGTTACCCTGTCCATTTTCAGGGTAAATGGACTATATCAACAATTTTCACATGTCATAAAGCAGGTGTCCCACTTGTTTTGGCAGCCAAGGAGAGGTGCCATACCCAGAGATGCTTCTTTCTAACCAAACAAAAAACATTAACTAACCAATCATAACCTAACTTATATCCTATAACCTACAACCTAAAATATTTACTAAGTATATTTAGTAATTTTAGTAGCAACCAACAAACCTACAACCTACATCTGAGTATACCTATCTAGCGGCAGCATCTCTCCTTGGTTGCAAAAACGAAAGCGCGCCGCCACCAAATTTTCTAGGCTGATTACCAAACTGTTGCTATTAAAGTGTGATTTTTATTCAATTTTGAGCCCACAGCAGTGTTTTATGGCAACACTGCCAGCCACTGCCAGCACATTTTGCGAGCTGACATCATACTTGTGGTAATGTTGGAGCTTGGAGTTATGGGCTTGTTGATGCTTCTATGGAAACCCAAATTGCCACGTAACTATGCTGGCAGCACGTTGGCAGCATTGGTGAAACACAGCCCAGGGTACAAAAGCAGATTTCACCTGTAGCTTTTGGTGGAATCTGAAAACAGAGGGCCGAAGGGCATACTTGATTACCAACAAATACCGAATAAGTATCAGAAATGAAATCAGGTCTTAGAATATCTTGTGCATGGCTTTTATTTATCCTGATCCGTCTGTTTTGCGGACCTGAAGTAAATAAATACCGAAATTCTTTACCTTTAAATGCCTTGAATATAAGGAATGTCGAGTGACAATTTCAATAGCATTGATCAAAGCGCCCCAGGCGATTTTTTTCATGGTTTTCAGATTCTACCGCAAGTGATTTGGATTGCTTTATCACGATCCTATCATAGTCCAACAATTTTTCATCACGCAAGCCTGTCCCCACTTAAGTTACAATACAATCACCTGTCTTGGGCATTAAATTAGCATAAATTGGCACCCACCTTCCAACAACTCTCCTCCCCGAGAATGAGAAGAAGCAGCCGACAAGTGCAATGTGCGCGTCGGAAATGTAACAACATTTGCAGAAAAGATGCTGTTCGGTTGTCGCTTTTTATCAGCACACTGCCAGTTTCACCATATAAGGAAGATCCATATGGGCAAATCTTGGCCTCTCATTGGTCAGCCAAGCACAGCACTTGAGCTTGACCAATGATAAGCCAAGTAACAGCAACAGCGGGCTGCCAGCAGCTGATAGAAAACAAAAAGGGCAGTGCTAAGATGTCCGTCAGTCTGGCAGTAGCTTCATATTTGCGAATAATAATAATAATAATAACATGGATTACCTACTACCTGGATCGGCAACTCCGCGGAGTTCCCATTGTATTGCGCGACCGCCCGAAAGTGCTGCCACCTATCGAGCAGACTGATCCCTGCTAAGGACAGCCCGCCGCCGCCGCCCAGTCAGGCAGCGGCCGATACCAGCGAAGTCCGAAAATGACCGGCAAGTTACATGGCCTGAACCAGCCGCGGCTATGTTTGGCATAGGCCAACAGTGTCGGGTTCCGGAAGAGCGGTCCAGGGCGGTTCCATAGACTATGTATCGTTTTGGAAAGAATGGTGTGGTGGGTCGTTTACCGAGCGCGACTGGCCGATTTTACCTCAGCACGTCGTATTGTTAGCTCTCATGGCCAGGCCAGGCGCCTTCTGCCAGCTGCCTGAAAATACCTTCGATCAAACGACTTTGTCTATCACTCGGGTTGCCCCTGATCAGCTTGAGCATTCCAACTCAGTCGTCGGTAGACCGCAGAGGAAATGTGCCGTCCGCCGTGAAACATCCAAATCATTGCTACAGCCATTTTGACTGACTTATAAAGATCAAGACAAATGCTGTCATATCGATTAACGAATATCTGCACCACTGACAATTTCTATCAAGAAGCATTCCAGGATTATAAGCTTACCATACACCGTTTCGTTAAAAAACTGTTTCCATATTGAACTTATATTTGCCGTCGCATGAGCGAATTGCCTACTGAGTACAGGCTGAAACCGATTCTTTCCGCAGTCAGAAATCATGTGCGAGACCGAGAGCCTATTCAAATAAACCCCGGTCGCACTCGCATCCATAACACGCACCTCCTTGCGTGCGATTGATGCTATTGCAACTTAATGGATTTGAATAGGTTCTCGTGTGCGATTTCCTGACTGTGGAAATAGTCTGTCTCGGCCTGAAGTTCAGAATTTAACACAGGTTCAATGACAACTAAGGTGAACGATGACACACAATGTATACAATGCATATTATTGCATAGACTGATAGGTAGGTTTCGAGAAACGACGTGCCACATGCCTACTAAACGGTGTCGTAGCACCAAGCTGGTTTCCAATTCACACCTACCACCAGAGTATATCGGGAATAAATGCAAACACGGTGCACACGAACGCATTATCCGCTCAATGGGTATGCCCGTAGTGGGTATGTTAGTCAGTTACAAACGCTGTAATACCTTAAACATTTTCGGCCGAGCCAGTTCACAGTTCACACCACGGCTGCCTGCTGCCGTCACGTCACACGTGTCCGCAGTGGGCGTGCACCTGCGAGTGCGTGCATCATAATTCACATCACAAATCACAGGATGCCAATTCAAGTCAGCACACCGTGGAAACTGAACCCATCTCTTTGATCTGAAACGAAGAGTGAGAGAGGGAAATTAGATACCTGAGCATACCGTAATGAAATGGAGAGTGAGGGCATTCCAAGGCAAACTGTTTCCCCACAACATCACAAAAAGTATTTTACATTGCGATGATGTTGGCAAAAAATAAAATAAATAATACCATTGACAAGATACTCCCAAACAAAAGTACCCAAAAGCTTAACATCTTATCTGCTAGGCTTACATAGTTTAAAATGGCTTTATCTTACTTAAATCTATCTGCTATCTACACACAGTTTGGCTAGCACTCGTTCTAAAAAGGTGATTGTTATATATCATTACGGAGCGAGCGAAGCGAGCGGAGTCTTACGTAGAATAACGGAAATTTCTGAGTATGAGCGGCCGGCCGGCCGGCCGGCCGGCCGTGCGGACGCTTTTGCGAGGCTTATATCTCAGCAACCACTTGACCGATTTACATGCGGTAATTTTTGTAGGGTAGCTTCATTCCTTCTACCAAGTATTGGACTATTCCCGATGCATGTGGGTGACCCCTTATGCACGTGCCACGTGCAAAACGAAGAGGTGTCACTTTTCTAATTGTTGCAATATCTCGGTAACAACTTGGCCGATTGCGCTGAAAGTTGGCATGTAGGTAGGCACCCACTAGGCACTGCATATCCATGTGCCAGAGTTGGGGTGCTGCTGCACGTGCGCACGTGCAGGGGTCGATTCCAGATCTCGAGAACGGCTGGACCGATTGCGCTCAAATTTGGTACACGGTTAGGGACCGGTTAGTAGGGTGCCGTGCAAAAGTCAGTTGGGACCCATGTTGCACGTGCGCACGTGCAGGACGCCGCTTCCAGATCTCGATAACGGCTGAGCCGATTGTGCTCAAATTTGGCACATCGCTAGAGACCGGTTAGTAGGGTGCAGTGCACAAGTCAGTTGGAGGTACCCCCTCGAAATTTCGCACGTGCAAGGCCCACCCTCTCGCTCGCTCCGTTAGTCGCCCCAAAAGGCGTTATACTGGTTCAATAGAGGGAAACTCACAAACTTCTTCGTACTACTCTGGACCTTTTGGCTTTGAGAAAAGAAGGAAGCTGATGTCAGGGACCAGGGTCGGCACTCTTTTGTCATTTGTGGTTGACAATGGCACTGGCTGCCATTAGGCTTTCTTTTTACTGTCAAATGGTTCAGTTTCTCAGGCTGAGAACATGATTTATTTAAATGTGTTTTTTTATTCAATATCATTCAACTATTTATGAAATCAGGGCATTGGCAAGCAGGTTATAAAAATTAGCTGAAATGACATGATGCCAGTCAACTGCTCCTGAAGTGTGTTGCACTCTAGTCAGCCGTTCAGAGAAATACGTAGGAAACTGATATGGGTGAGCAGTGAGTCTGAACAGTGAGCAGTTGACCAATTTATAGGTAGGTATTGGCACTACACAATATAAAACATAAACCATTTTCAATAGTTGAACAAATATTGAGTTAAGAAATAATGGCACACTAACTGATTTTGCTAAACTAAAAACTTAACAAAAACTTAAGCAATTCACAACTAACAATGCATCATCCACCACCTATCATGCGCTGCCAAGACCGAAATTGTATCACAAGCAAAACCATGGCTATATCAGCGGCATGTATAAGCTTGAGATATGATGTGTCAAACATATAACAAACATATAAAAACATAAAATTAAACATATAAATAAGTGATTAACCATTCAATTACGGAAATTATACGATTTTTAACGACATATGGCGAGAAGCAATGTGCGCCAGTATCGTCAACAGCCGCTCTTTACAGTCATATTTTAGGCCACTCAGACCCTCCAACCACAAAAAAACCTTACCAATCTTACCTTGCCATCTTCCTCCATCTTCTGAAACCTTCCAATCTGCTCCAAAGGGGCTTAACTTTTCAAAAAACAAGGCAAACGATCCTACGACGCGACGCCGACCATTGTTTTGAATAGCACCCGCTCCCCCGCGTCCTTAGCGCTCGACACCACTGCCACCTAGCGGTGGTCACAAACATCGAGAAGTTGCCGATCCAGGTACTACTTCATCCATGATAATAATAATAATAATGCCATTTATTTCACACCATCATTGGTGCATACAGGAAGTTCCAGTGACAGCTAACACAATCATTACATCCATACATACACACACACATACACACACATCAAGATATTCATATTCAGAACGTTAAAATCAGTGCAAGCACGCACGTCGATCAAGAGGAAGCTCGTCTCAGCTTTTTTTGTGTATTGTGTATTGTGTATTGAAATATACCGTCCACAGGTGCACCCCATTTACAGACGGAGTCACAAGCATAAATATACGCCACATTTTCACACACCTACCTATGTCTAACTAACACATGTATAAATAAGGTTACAGACTCGATACGAATGCCTTCACCTGACTTCTAAACGCCGCCCGGGATCCGAACAGGTCAGCAGTGGGCCGTTTCTCACATAGACTGTTCACAGCTCGTGGCAAGCGACAGAACAAACCGTTTCTGATTGTGTCAACCCTTGCTGCAGGCACGTACAGCACAGGCTTGGAACGAGTTCGCGATGGTACAGCGAGTGAAAACATCGCAAGAATGTCACCGGAGTCGATCCTGCCGGTGAACACGTTCTGCACGAAGTTCAAGTCATTCAGAACAAGCCGCTGGTCAATTCGCAAGACACCAAAATGACGAAGCAGATCAGTATAGTCAAGAGAAGCACATGGACTGTTTGAATGCCTGCCCAACCACATCAGGAACTTGTGTTGGATACGCTCCAATCTCGCAATATGAGTTTTTGCTGCTCCGCCCCATATCACGCAACCGAATTCCATGATTGCACGAATGTGGGCATTGAAACCTGTCATTATAGGTCCTGGCGGTAGCCTACGGCCGGCGGGAGCTCGATAATTTTCATTTCATTTAGTTGAGTAGGTGCTTCGGCCCTTACAGGCCATTGCGCACCGTGTGTGTTCATATTATATTAGAAGTAGAGAGAGAAAGAGTGAATCAAAATAAGATGACCAGCCTACAATCGATGGAGTAGACCTATTTGAACGAGAAAAGAGAAGAGAAGTTGAAGTAACCCAGGATGATCGTCGCCTAAGACAACGTGTAATGACAATGTGATATCATGTGCTCGACAGTAATCTTGTATGTGTTGACGTTATGTGATATATTTCCTACAATCTAGCAAGATGTGTTTGATGTCCAATACTACTCTGCATTGATGGCAAGTAGGTCTTGGTTGGTG